AAAAGACTTTGCAAATGCACCTCATTTGACGCACATATTTATACTCGAACCAAACCATTTTCTCGTCTTGGATGTTTTTTTTTTCATTTTCTGTTATTTCTGTCCGTGATTGGATAGAAAAAACGAACTACAAATACTCCAAGATTTTTTTGACTTCATTAAAAAATAAAATCGTTTTTGTAGGATGGAAACTTTTTGAGGTCAAAACCCCCCACCCTCAAACTAAAGGAAATAAGTTTTTTATCCGACATCGATCTTTTGACGTCGTCCCTAATCGGGTTGTATATGTCCATTTTAATTGCCTCCTACTGAAAATAACGACAAGTATTCTTAAGCATAAGACAAAATAAATGATAAAATGTTGTTTTCGTATCATTTTGTGCAATTGGTGTGAGTTTATAGACAACACTACCTATCATATTTACAGCGTTGTAAAAACACGTCCTAGACGTGTACGACTGAGGCATAACAACTGCATCCGGTATGCATATGATAGGTGTCATGTAGAATTGTAATTTCAATACAATACAATACAATTTATAGTAGAATTGAATATCATGTTATAATAGAATGTAATGGGACTGGTGTATTGATATATATTAGTTTTATATGTCACTGTTTTTTTCTCCTGACTGTTTATATGTGCGAATTTTCGCCAAAGAAGTCATAATCATGTTTGAGAATACATGACAGGGCTCTGTAGCCATTTTCTTATGAAATGGCAATTTTAATGCGCTATTCTGGCGTCACCCAGGCTCAGTCGAACACAAGCACCTGCGGACCTTAAACAGAATTCCCCCAAAGTCGCATTCGTTAGTAAATGAATCTCGGCCAGTGGAATAGGCCTTCCCATTGAGTGAGACACACTCACCCAGTTGGCTTTTCCGTTGAGTCCGTGGCACACTCGCTCAGTGTAGGGGTTGACCCTTTTTGATGGCCCCGGTTTTACCGATCGTGAGTCTGATGCAAAAACCACTATGCTACCAGTGACCGGCTATATATAACAGTTATTGATATAAGTTCATATACTGGAATTTCTCAGATAGAAAATAACCACACTGCACTGCGAGTAATGTTGCGCCCCTTGGAAGAAGGCCTCAACTATACTGTATATCTTCGATACGAATACAGCCCAACCACAGAGGACTATGAACATCGGCAGGATATACCAAGGGATGATTACGAGGCTCTTGGTGATGATGATGAAGTCTTAGAAGAAGAGTGGCCATACACCATGTTTGTACCAAGCGCAGAGTTAACGCAAGTGGGCAATTACAGCATTGGTATATTCCAAAATGGTAAGCCTCTATTGTTAGGAACCTAAGGGGGTGGGCGGCGGTGATGGATGGGACGTGTACCTCTATTAAAAAGCTGTATAAAAATGAATGCCGTGGAATGGCATCCATTTTTGACATCACATCCCTGTCGTACCCCCGCACCGTACAAATAACACATAATATAGTAGAATACACATTCCTAGTGTGTCGATACTATGCACTATTGTCACGCTGAACATCCGGGTAGCTGATATATCCAATTGCAATAGAAAATGAAATTTGCATCATACAATATTCCAACACACTGAATTAGAGCCCTTGTAAGTTCAATTTCGTAATGTGTTAACAGCATAATTTGAATTAAACATTTAGTAATTGACCACATACCCGAAATTACAGCTAGTGGAAACAATACGATAATGACGCCTCCAGGATAGATTAAACATTTGCATACTTAACTAAACAATTCGTCATTAACAGACAGGAATATCAATTTGTCAGTTAATTCAAGTGTTTAACTAGACTTATGAAAATGACAATTAACTCATAGAGTGTATCTCTTCACAGGAGCGGACGAGAACAGTACATGGGCGAATATTTCATTGAGCATTGCAGTGATCGGGTGTAAATATTTCAATCAAACACTCAGTGATTGGAGTTATGACGGAGTTAGGGTTAGTTGATTTTAACTGTGTTTGATTATAGACTATATTTGAACAGTAATGCACTCCGATACATCTAAATTGATTGACAAGGACGCTACGAGTTTTACAGAATACTGCCTATCCGTGCTTATTAGTGCTTTGTTTCAATACAACAGTACCGAGATCTATCTATTATAGCAGTCTGTGGGAATCCTACGTTTTTTTCATAATGTACCATCAAAGTGCGGTCATTCCTATTATTCGCGCCCCTAGTGACGTAGCGCTTCTGTGACGTCAAAATGACGTATATGGGTGAATGCAATGTCGTTCAAATCGACAACGGTGTTTGGTTGTGCAGTCGTCCGACATTTTGAGCGAAATCTCGCCAAAACAAATTCTTCATTAACGGATAACTATAAATCGAATCTACATCGATGATTTTAGCAGCCTCCGTGTTTCCTATTTACGTCATGGAAGCGCCTTGTCGCTATTCACGGAAAAGGTTTATTGTTAATTTTTTTTTTTTACAAATTAATTATATTTGTTTGCTCACCTGTCAATAAATATGCACATTTGGGTTTCATTGCCACCCACAATCCCACTAATAAAAAAATTGCAACCATCTATCCATACCTTGGCATTGAATCAAGCGTGTGAATACCTAAAAATATGCCACTATTTAGAAATTGGAACTCCACATTATGTGTATCCCGACAAAATACTACTTTTAATTGGCGGTTCCACACACGGGAAGGATAGGCTCGTTCTTTATATTGATTATTTCCACAAATTGCAAGTCACAACAATGAATTATTTTGTTTACACCCAGGCTTTGAATACGTCCACCACCCAAGTCACGAAATGTGGAGCAACTCACTTAACCTCGTTCGCGACCGATTTCTTTGTACCACCGAATTCAATAGATTTTGGTACAGTATTTCAGAAGTTCGCAAAGTTAAATGAAAATGCATCTGTCTTCTCTACCATCATTGTAATACTGGCTCTGTACATCGTCGGCGTGATTTTTTGTCGAAGAGCGGATAAAGCTGATCTAATCAAGGTAAACAAATTGTTGTAGTTATTTAGATTACAATTTAGATATTCACATTGTGGTACAACTTAACGTAACACGGAATAATTGTGTTTTTGGGGGGTTTATCATCCAAATTCAATTCAGTATGCCTGTCTCTGTAATTGCTAAATATCTCCTAAAATATATAAGATCTTTGATCAAATACACATATAAAATTAACACAGTTTTAGAAATATAATCGTTGTTTGGGAATTTGTTTCGAATTTGTTTGAAGACTAGAAGGACTATCCCCGTGTATCTCTTCAATAATAGGTTTCGTGGAATGTGGATTGGTAACTTCGTTCTCAGATCATATAAGAAATGTACATTAATTTGTTATTAGTTTTATAAGATCTAATAATATATACATTATATTATACATAACAGTACAATCTCGAAGTAAATGGAATATGTACATCGTAATGTCTTTGCGCTCTCGGAGAGTTAAACGGAATATGTACAAACAAATACGCTTACATCAGCGCAATCATGATGTTGTTTACATCTATTTATTTTAATTACATGACGCTTATATATTTTTTTCTTTCAATAGTGGGGAGTTCTGCCACTTGCCGACAACGACCCGGACCACCATTACTACTATCAAGTCAATATTCATACGGGTACTAAAATGGGAGCTGGCACAAAGTCACGCGTCTCGTTTACCTTATTTGGAAGTATCATGAACTCTGGTGTCAGGAAATTGGAAGACGGAGAAAGAGATAGTGACAAGGTTTGTGAATTTTTTTCTGAACATCAACTTTATTTGTTTGGACAACGTTTTGTTATTTTTATTATTGTTTAAATTATTTATCCTTTGCCTAGTTTTGAGCGACCGAAGCATAAAATACTTTGTCTGGTCACGTGATATTATGACCGATTACGTCATCTATGTGTTGACTCGCTCGAAGTTGATTCATGACGCGCGCAGTCAAGCGAATGCGTCAAATGTTTTCAGGATTTTGCGGTATTTCAAAGCAAACGTTTACCTGTCATATAGTCTTCTCATATTGGAAAAACGATTTTATAGATTATTGCACGACTGGCTGCGAACGAGGCAGCAGAGCGTCTGGCGTATATACCACGTGATATTGATATTTTAGTTATCGTTTTGTTGTATTACAGCTTTTTGAAAAAGGATGTATCAGTAAATTTATTCTGGCGACACATGGCCCGTTGGGGAAGATGCGATCTTTACGTATATGGCACGATAACTCCGGGGGAGGCACAGCAGCATCCTGGTTTCTAGGACGCGTGGAAGTGATCGATCTACAGTCTGATGACAAGTATGTACGATATACCACATAACGGCGTTCCTTAAAGCGGGAGGGTCGTCACATGCGCACGCGCGGGAATTGAGTCCCAAGAGACGATAACAACACACGCTAAAACACAAAGGCTCATGGGTAGACGCTTGTTTGTAAACAATGAAACTCTATGGCCACCTGACGCATGCGCAGGTGACGACTCCCCGCTTTAACATTTAGTTGTTGAATTTCTATATATTTGCATATATTATCATCTTATGAATAGGCAAAGTGACGTGTCCTATTACCCCGTGTTAATTCATCTGGTATGACAATAATCCACGATGTCAATGTTTCAAAAAATATGCTATAGTCCCTCTTGCAAAGCTCCGATGGACTTACAAGCATTGCCGTTAGAAAGTGAATAGAGATATTCCCAAACATTGATATTATGCTTCTAAGAAGCGCGATGAAAACGGTTAAATAGGCTACTCAGTGCAACACTTGATATACAAGAGTTTTTTTCTTCTGTACTACAGGTGTTTCTTTCTTTGCGATAAGTGGCTGGCTGTGGAGAAAGGCGATGGGAGAATAGAGCGCTTTCTTCGCAGTGCTACCGAAGAAGACTAACGAAATTCAGCAATCTCTTCTCCTACACCACGAGGAAAGAATTCACAGACGGACATTTGTGGTTTTCCGTGCTGTCCCGACCTAACAGGAGTAACTTCAGCCGCGTACAACGACTCTCCTGCTGCCTGTCGTTGTTATATCTGACTATGATCTCAAACTGCATGTTTTTCCGTTCTGACGATGAGAAGGTTCAGACAACTGACAAGTTGTTCACATTAGGTAAATATACACTTACAAATTGCTTTTTAGGACACAAGTTATACAGCACACCGTAGAATATTTCCTTTGTCACAATAAAGTTTTGTTTTGTGCAGCAATCAAACGTACCTGGCATAACATGTCTCTTTCGAACGTACGTCTCTTTCGATGCTTGTTTCCTGCGAACATTTTATGACACAAAATAACACGTTCTGTTATGTATTTCTTCACACTCACCAACTGAAAGTTACATACGATTGGTGGAATGGTCAATATTAGACATATTCACTGTTAGATCCCTGTCACATCGCAATTGAAGCCCTCGTTGGCTAACATACTAGGACATGTATTATTCCATATTTACATCAATAATTGGTGACGAATTCTAGAATAGAATAGAAGATTTATAGATTTCATTTAAATCGCGTGGAGCTGGGAACCGTC